AAGATGACCACAGAGTATAGATATATGAATAACATATAGTACAGATACTATGTCGAGTTAGTAACTCTAGAGAGTATTTGGAATTGTAAATATTATAAGGTTTAAAAGTAAGAAAGTCTGAAGTAAGGTAGCTATAAGCCAATTGGTTAGCAAGATTATTGAATCGATCCTCTTGATGTATAGTAATTTTGTGAAAAATAATTTGATGATTGTATAATTGAGTAAGGTTAATAAAGGTATACTACAATATCAAGTATAGAATGTGTGTAGTAAAAAGAAAATGTAGTGAATTATAAAGGCTATTATATTTAGAAATAACAGATTGTGAGTTCATAAAAATATGAATAATATAAGATCTAGATGCAGTACTAATTGCTAACAATATAGCAACAAGTTCTGCTTTAAAAAAGCATAGCCAGTATTTAATTTGTGCTTAGAATTTGTATAATATATTGTTCTGATAGATTTGTACCTATCCAAGCTCATGGAGCAGTCTTGTATCTCAAAATCTAAGACAGAGCTATCTGTATAACAAGTAATTTCAGAAAGTTGAATATTAGAGTTGGCAATAGTTTGAAGTGTAGTAGTAAGAAATCTAGATTCAAATATAGATAGAATAAAAACAGTTTTAAGAGATACTGGGAGTAGATGAAATATAGAAAGGGTGATGAATTGTGATAGAATATATTAAAACTAAATGATTAGTGTAAGGTTTAATAGTTTTTTTTTTGAGAGTTGTAAATGCAAAAAAATTTATATGCTAAATTAATAAAAATAAATATTGTATATCTATTGGCAATAAGATTAAAATTGTAAAAATAGCCAGAATATATATTAAAATTAATAGGTTGGGTTGGGTATAATTTAGTAAATTGTGGTATAAAAAAGTATTGCCAGTATGTAATAAGAACAAGACTAGTTGGAGTGATCTGTCTTCTTGCTTTATCTACTATTATTTGGTCTTTAATAGTAGTTATAAGCCATGGCTTTGATCTTAAAGAAAAGTGATAAGTAGAAAAGCTATAGTGATTAATATCAGGAAGTTTATATTGTTTATAAAATATTCTGTTACTATTGTGATCTAATACTAGATTTCAAAGGTTGTAAACTAAAGAGGTTTCCTTCCTCTAAGAATTTTATAAAGTTTTGGTACAATATGTTCCTAGCTAAAAAAACAAAAATTGTCATATGTAGAGAGTTGATCTAAATAAAGAAGATGAAGTTTGCAAAGTTGTTTCTTAAAAGGCATATAGTTAGGATATGATAAAAGTATTAATTTAAGAGATATAGAGCCTTTTTGAGAAGTATATAGAATCTCATAAATTAAATTGTGGGTAATTAATGTACTGAGATGATTAAAAAGCTTAAGAATTTTAAAGTTGGTTGAGTTTTGGTTAGGACTATCAATAATAGAATTAGAATGTATTAAGATATTTATAGATAACCAAAATTGTTTTGGAGTTGTTGATAACAAATTCAAGAACTAGTGCCTAGAAGATCAGGTTGTTAATTTGCTTAATATAGTTGGTAATATGATATTGAAGTTGAATATCCCAGATATTACAAATATTATAAAGTTGTGGCCAAAGGAGGATACTAGTAGAGATTATATAGTTTAGCTTAGTCTTGCACTTGACAAGTTTAATATGATGTGAAAGTATTTGTTTACAGATTTGTTGGCTAAATACAAGATTGTGAAGTCAGTATTTAATAGTTGGTATAATAATAGTAATATGATATATGAGTATGTGTATCAGTAATATGCTTAGTATCTGCAATTTGAATAAAGTGTAGTGATTTCTCAATAATAAGTTGTATTTGGTTTGAGAATTTGTTATCAAGTATAAACCAGTATCTAAGAAATTTGAAGGGAATATGAAGTAAGTGTAAAGATAATGAGTATTAGTTATATATAATAGGAGTATACTAGAAAAGAGGGTTATTGATACAAAGAATAGATTTAGCAGAATTAACTTGTATATTAGCTATATTGTAAAATGATTAAGTAATAAAGAAAGATTGACAAGATCATAGGTCTTGCTCATATCTTGAGACAAGAGATATATATCTTTGTAGTTATATGTAGCATCCTCAATTAGATTATTAAGGATATGTATAGGAGTTGCAATAAAATTTCTAGATAGAGCAACATAGTTGAAAGGTGATAGAAATAATTACAATTCTAATTGTATTTCAAATCAATTACTACTATAATCCAAACTTTACTATATCTATTACTTTTTCTATACCATACTTAAATTTAAAATACTTTTATATTTTAAACTTATATACCTTAAATTGCTTTGCTAAAACTTGCAAATTAGCAACTTTAAAATTACTTTAAAATAATTATAAAATAACTATAAAATAACTATATAGCTACTTTGTAGTGGCTACAGTTTTATATTTACTATATATTAGCAATATGTCTACTACTATTTACTACTATATTATTACTATATTACTACTATTTTACTATACTTTTACTATATTTTATAAAAAATTTTTGTAGTAAAAATATAGTAATATAGTAGTAATATAGTAGTCACTAATAGTAAATTATAATAAAAGTATAGTAAAATAGTAGTAGCATAGTAGTAATATAGTAGTTAATAGTAGTAGACATATTGCTAATGTATAGTAAATGTAAAACTGTAGTCACTACAAAGTAACTACCTAGTTATTTTATAGTTACATTATAATTATTTTAAAGTAGTTTTAAAGTTGCTAATTTGCAAGTTTTATGCTTACTTTATAACATTTTAATTTATATATCTTGCTTTTACTTTTGTCATATGTATCACTATTTATTTTTACATTTTTAATTTATTCTAATTTATAAACACATTCTTATATATCTACTTATAATTTACTATAGTCGAACCTGGTCATGCTCTAATGTGGTGATTGTATAGAGGTGTGACTATAAACAAATATCAGATTAATATCACATAATCTTCAACCAATCAATGATTAATTGATAATTTATTAGTCATAATTTTCCTACATCTAAATTTTTTTTTGTATTAAGTTAACTACCTTTGAGTCTCTAAGTAAAGTTGTAGAGCTCATTAAGACAAATCTAATAGTAGTTAAATTATCAAAATTAATCTAGTGGTTGCTGAGATATCTTTGAAAAATGGTTTGCCAACTATATAAATTCTTTGTAAACAATATAAAGAATTTTTCTATAGTTGGCAAAGAAATCTTAGTATCCATTAAGCTGATTTTGATAATTTAACCACCATTAGATTTATCTTAATGAGCTTTATAACTTTACTTAGAGACTCAAAGATGATTAACTAGTTGAAAAACCTTTTAATTAATAAATTAGTAATTATAAAGAAGTTTTTTTATTAATAAATTTGACCTAAAAATTAGATTTTAAGGTGATAGTGATTATAAGTGATTTGTGACTATAATGAGGTTTTTTACTATATTTTAAGTCTGTCACACAAAATTGAATACTTAAATAGAAGTGTGATTATATGAGATGTGATTATAGGGAGGTCTGACTGTAATTTATTACTTACTCTGCAATATAAACTACTTTTATATATATACTATCAATCTAGCTAACCTATCTATCTATTTATAGTCATACCTCTCTAAATGCATACTCTGAGAAAAAGTATAAATTTGTATTTAGAGAGGTATGCATTTATAGAAAACTTCTCTAAATGCATGCACTAGAAAATTAAATATAAGTTTGTACTTAGAGAATATAAATATACATACTCTATAATCTTTAGGAGTGAATAACTTTTGATCTACTGGTTCATTTTGAATAAAACATCTACCAAAATATTTGCCTTGATGAAATGATTCTGAAGAGCCCAAATTGCTAACATCTAATCACAGAATCCTGAGATCAGTTTTTGTGTTATTTCATATGTATTTTATTAATTCTAAAATATATACAAAGTAATACAAAACCTTAATGATCTCAGGGTTTTGTAATTATATTTTGGCAATTTTGGGCTATTAAAATTGTCTCACCGAGGCAAACATTTTGATAGGTGTTTTATCCAAAACAGACCAATGGACAAAAGTTTTCACTATCAAATATTTAAAAATTATTATTTTTATAGTGATTTCAAATATGCGCAGAAATGATTTTATTGGTTAAAATTATATATATATATTTATAAAAATATATATATATACTTGGGACTCTAAAATTTTATACACATGCAGAATATAAAAAATTCTTAAGTCCCAAGCTTGGAACCAGGCCATAATATGCATTTGAAAAGTTTTGCACTTAGGAGGCATGTACTTAGAGAATACACTATATCTATATATTCTATATTATTAAAAAACTTAACCCTATCCTCATTTTAAACTCATATTACCTCGCATTTACATAATCTTAATTCCATGTATCCTTTTCACTTTTCATCATTCCCATCAGTGTAAGTGACAGGTTACATACTAGTTCCTATTAAAAAACATTAGATTGTTGCATGGAATCAGATATTGCATATTTGTATGCATAATGAATAAATTTTTCATAATCAATGTATCTCATGCTAAAATGATATTAAGTATGGCATGAGTGAGCAGATCAGTATTACAGACCAAAATTAAATATAATACTATATTAATCAGCTATAATCTCTAATTTTAACGGTAATATACATACCAGTGTTACTATCATAATTTTGAAAAAGCATCAGTAAGAGCCAAGTTTAGATCAGTGATAGTAAACAAAAGATAAATTAGAGTAAGATAGGAACAACAATAGGTAAATAATTATTGTTGTAATAATTATATGATATAATAAATAAATATAGATGATTGTGAAAATGTATTCATAATATGGATATCGGGATATATAATATTAACAATACTGTGAAGATGTATTCATAATAGTTCAATAATACAAGGAAAAATTTAATATGAAACTATTTATTCAAAAATATTAAGGAGATTGAAGTCTGAGAAAACTTTATTCAAGCAAATAACAGGTCTTTAAATATATGTAAAAATCGTACAGACTATTTGTCTAAGATTATCATAGTATTTTCTTTCTTCGTAAATTTATCCTTTTCAATGCCAATTTCTTTATCCCTCAATGATGCTAAATGCCTGAGATAAATAACAACTATGCCTTGCCTCAATAAATTTATTGAAACTATTCCCATAACAAGATTTGGCTTCTTGACACCTTCAACAAACATGCATCATGTTTTACATTAAACTTATCACAACATCTTGCCCTGCAATATGTTTAATGTATCATTTAACTATTAGAAAAATCGATAGTTAAATCAATTAAAAAATACTGTTAACTAATCTATTACAGGCTAAAAATGGAATATTGCAAATTTATACTTAAACATTTATTAGAGTATAGTAATCTAACTTTAAATAATAAGATATCAATAATCATAGGATAGACTAACAAATATAGAATACTAATAATATGAATATAGCAATAACAAGAAAAGTAAAAATAGCAATAATAATAATATACGATAAGGCTAATAAGTAATACAGATGAGCTAACATGAATGATAATATCAATAAATACAAAAAAAAAGAAAAAATATGCGCTAGAATTTTTTACATAGTTGGGCGCAGAAATTAAAAGAAATTTCAATAGTAACAGACTTCCCTTCTTATTTATCGAGCTTCTGCAAAGATCGATCTGGCTCCAAATCACCTCTGGGGGTGGCTGATATAACTTAAGTCGATTACTATGCACTTTTTGTTTGAGAACTTTATCATCTATAGTTCTTAATTTATAAATGCCATTTCCCAGAATGTCATGAACATAGAAAGGACCTTCCTATTTCTTACCCAATTTGTCTTTGTGAGTGCCTTCAAGCTCAAATCGATAATGAAGAACTTGATTCCCAATAGAATAACTCTGAAAAACAAAAT